GAACAATTCGTGACCCTCCATATACGACACAAGATAAAGTTTTTGCTCTGTTGTTGCCGAGGCCGCCGGGCCAACATAGTCCGCGTTGACATATCCCGCCATCTGTTATAACAACAAACTATTACTTCTAATGTATTGTACAGGTTAACATCAAACTCTAAAATTCACTTCGATTAAGAACTTTAATAACTAAAGTTGCACATGGATGATTTACCTTTGTCTCCAAACTACCAGTCCTACTAGTCACTAACACGACTGATCGCGCCACAAATTGGAACAATCTGAACACCTGTTGAACACCTGCTGAACACCGATTTGACGTGCCGATTTGACTGACTCCAATATTTATCAACAACGCACCGCCTTCGCCGCGTCGCTCGATGGCTCCGTTCCTCACGGGCGCGAACGGCAGCGCCACCTAGCGGCGAATTTCAGAGGCCAGGTGGGGGCGCGGGCGGGCGGGCGAGCGAGCGAGCAAACTCTCTAATCGCGCTGCTGTAAAATAACGATTTATTCGTTGAGAAACATTTTCTTTAAACAATTACTTTAAAACAATGATTTCGTTCAAATACGATACCAATGTAGTTTTGCCTAAGAATGAAATTTTTCATCATCAAACGGATTTGTCGTACTAAAACGAGCATACTGTTAATTAATGTTGCTTTCGTTTTCTGTTGAAACAACAATGTTGTTTTTAAACGACAAATTTCTCACAAAATTTGTTGTTATTTTACAACTTTTTTTAACAGTACCGTCCTTGAATCGATGTCTTGGTCCTTGCAAATCAAGGAGGTGTTTTTATCGTGATCAGTGTCATTCTTTTCATATCTCATTTAATTTCTGCTTTGAAAGTACCATCTATATTACAAACTTTCCTCTTTTACCAGATGATGAATTTTATGTTATTGACCAATGCAATTCCTGCAATGTTAACGGCAAGATCATTTCTTCATTGAAGTTAAATTTGTACTCTAATTACTCTGCGAGAAGCATTTCTAGCTTGATCAAAATTTCAGAAAATCTAGAAATTTCGAAGTAGTGTTTTTACTGGGGCGTTTTTTGTAGCCATCATTCATTTTGAAAAATCATACTGGTAGCTTGGATAGTTTTATGTCACTAAATTAACTTTAATCAGTTTTATTTTCTATCTCATGTATCTATTCTGTTTTTACTTTTCTGGATTATTTATCGTCAGTTTCTGAAACTACCCAAAGTAAGTGATCTGTTTTTTTCCTTCCAGATAAATACTACATTTTAAGTCTATGGCTTAAATGGATGGGCATCAAATGCCATGCAGGCTCAGGCCCTGGGGATGCACTTGCATGCTCAAGCAGTCCAGCAAGCACAAGTGATGCAGCAAGCCCAAGCGATTCAGCAAGTCTAAGCAATGCAGCATCAAGCGTTCCCAACTTCGGTAAGTGTTTAGAAAATATGTTGAAGTATATTACCACAAGCAAACAAACTATTGCTGTGCTGTCAGTGCTAATTATTTATGTATTTGGAACCACATTTTACTTGGTTTTCCTTTCTCATAGCAAAACCACCTGACCTCCCGGTCCCAGGTCGTGTTTGGTAACAAGGAGTCGTCAGTGACATCCACAATTCAAAGGGGTCCTGCTGCCACCCCTACATTGCATAATCCTGAGGCGATGCCATTCTATTGGCTTATTTATTTTTGTTTCAGATGTGAAATATCTGAACTTCTTTTTACTTGCAGGGCGCAGCTCCGTTTCAAGGGCGTAACCACGCGTCACGGACTGACTTTTAGAAGTGTTTTTTGATTTGAACTTTATTCGCTTGTGTACGATATACGCGAGAACTCTCGGGGTTCGTACCTGTTTTAGTTAATAACTATTAAAAGGGGCTTTCCAGAGACATGTGTGCGCCACTTGTATCTTTTCAGATAGTGACACATCAAGCCTCAAAATTGTCACGGACTTACAAAAAGGAAACTCCTCCCTTTCCATCACTCATATTTCGCCCAATTGCTCTGAAAGTACCAAAAATTTCGCAAAACCGAAAAATACTCTAATTACGTATTTTTGCCTTCTATCCATAGCCCAAAAGCGCACGCGTCTATCTCTTTGCGTGTAGTTGCAGCACCTCGAAAAGTACGTCGTGACGGACTGACACTTGTGATTCGCTTATTATTTCTTTATTGAAACAAGGTCATAGAAAACAAACTATCATAATAAGGCACAAAATAACACAAATATAACTCAAACATCTCATACATGTTAAAAAAATATCACATTTGTTGTCAAAACACAACGTAAAAAACAAAACAAAAAATCTCTTTCAATTATTGACTTTTTTATATAATTTTAAGGTACGGTGAATTACCCCCCGACTGTAGTTGAAGTGGGGTGGTTGATGTGGTCTCAGAGATGTTGAAATAGCTTTGAAGTAGTTGAAATAGCTTTGAAAAAGCATTGAAATAGCATTAAAAAGCATTGAAATAGCTGCAATAGGTGTGAAATAGTTGCAATAGCATTACTATAGATGTAATACCATTGAAATACGTGAAATAGCATTGAAATAACTGAAATAGTCTTGAAATAGAAATAGAGATGTGCACAAAAACGGCTTGTTATTTCCCCTCGGGCGCAGCGCATGTTGGCCCGTTGGTCCCCCTTGGTGTTCTTTGTGCAGCGCGTTGTTCTGCCTTCCGGATCCTGCCATTCTTTTTTATCAGTTCATGAATAGTAGAGTCCTTTTGGTGAGCTCTACACTCCCGCATACGTTCAGCCCCTGTTTTAGCCATCTCAACGCCCTTTCTCACGTCCACGCGGCATACTGCAGCTGAAGTTTAATCCCTCAGATGAGTCAGACAATGAAATTTTATGGACTAATCCCTCTCTCTCTTCCACAAGATTTTGCAAGCCTATTAGAATACAACATATAAAAGAAACACAGGTGGCAACAATAGAAGAGGAAACTTACTACAAGGACAAAATATCAAAGTTAACAGGATCTGAAGTGCATCTGAAAGATCGGACCATTATAAAAATTTATCATTCTATAAAATGCACTATGATATAGTAAGACCAGGACTTACTTAACAAAGTCAAGGGCACACAATAATTGTCCTTGTTGCGGTGCTACACCTACTCAAATGTCTGACCGTTCTCGAACTGTGAAAATAAGCACTTCTGACTACGGTCTATCTGTGCTTCACTGCCGCATCAAATTTTTAGAGTGTGTACTGCACATCTCCTATTAAATGGATCTAAAGGTTTGGTCGTGCAATGAAGCTCTATATAGGGACAGAAAAAATGAAATTCAAAGTAGGGTGAGAACAGAGCTAGGGTTGTTAGTGGACATGATTAAACATGGTGCTGGAAACACTAATGATGGCAACACTGCAAGAAAATTCTTTGAAAATGCCCAGACTGTTGCTGACATCACAGGATTTGACAAAGAACTACTGAACAGGTTCCGCACAATTCAAACAGCACTGTCCATCACCGAAGAAGTAGACTCTCAAAAATTTTAAAAGTTCTGTCTTGAGACTGCCGATCGATTTGAGCTGCTACACCCATGGTTCTACATGCCACAAAGTATCCATCTTATTCTCATCCATGGGTCTGACATTATGGACCATATGGAATTCCCTATGGGGTATTTCTCTGAAGAGGCTCTGGAGGCAAGTAACAAGTATATTAGGCCCTTCAGGGAATATCATACAAGAAAAAACTCTTTAGAAAACACAATGGAAGACTTATGTTTTAGACTTCTTACTGGTGATGTACTGTACTCTTCCATCAGAATCACTTACCCCAAAAAACACAAAGAGCTACCTGAATTTACAGTGTGTTGTTTTGTTACAGCGCACCGACATGGTCAAGGCCATGGATAGGGCACGCCAGGAAGCTGCACGTTACGGCGCGGAGCCAGCTGTAAGTGTGTTAATCATTTGATTTTAGACATGTTGTTTTTTGTAACCACGTGTGCTTGTTACAGCCTGTGTGTGAGGGCTAAAGGGCGCCAGGGTCCAATTGTTGGGGTGTGCCACCCCATCCACTGGGGCCCTGGCACCACGCCCCAACCAGCCCAGCCCCCTGCCCAGGCCTCCACCCAACCGCAGCACTTGAGGGCTGACGACCTCAGACACCACCTCCGGAGCCTGCAGTCACCAGCTTCTGGACGAACTGCCATAGTTGTAAGTACATTTGATGATGTGTACTAAAATTTTCAAGTGTACTGCAGAGGGGAAGGTTCTAATGAAGTTGTACTTTGTTAAGTGTGGTCAACACGTTCCAAGTTCACGAGTTAGTTTGATATAAGGGAAAATGTTTTAGATTGAAGACATTTTCATTTCAAAACTTAAAAGTACATAAAATTTTTATGGAGTTTAAAATGTCATTGGCTGAGCGATAGCGAAGCCTATTACTCCAGTGATGATCAAAGTTTCGTGTCTGTCTGTCAGTATGTCTGTCTGTCTGTTTGTCTGTAATCACGATAACTCGAGAACGGGTTGAGCTAGGTACCTGAAATTTTTAGCGTAGCTTTGTAGCATAAAAAGCAAGAACTGTATTGATTTTGAGCCTTCTAGCTTAAAACTTAATCTCACAAAAAAGTCAAAAACAAAAACCCAAAAATATTACTTCTAATTTTTTTTTTTCATCTTTCTAAGACGTAGGTAACTCGTCAAAGTAGAGCCCGTAGGGCCAACATTTTGTCCGTTTAACTTCATCTCTAACCGTTTAGTCGCCAGAGGGCGATATCCACACGAAAATGACCCCAAACCATTTTAATGTTTTTTTTTTCAGATATTTGAGAGTCTTTGGTGGGGTTGCTCGTTAAAATAAAACCCCGAGGAACAAAATTTGTGACTTTTAGGGCTGAATGCCTACATACGACTCTGTCTTTTGCCCGACTCGGGTGTCAGCGCCTCAGGCCTGGGTAGATGTATGCCAGGCGCGTCGCAGCGTAACAGTGTTTCGTGAGATATCGCGAAGCCTGTTACGCGAGATGTGGTCTGGAATACATCTACCTAGTTAGTTCTGAATTTGGTTCTTATTTTTTATTTTATTCACTTGAAACAATTTCCTTAAGACCAAAGATTTTCCCTATCAGAAAATCAATATGATAGTAAACTAGGTAGATGTACGCCAGACCACGTCTCGCGTAACAGGCTTCGCGATATCTCACGAAACACTGTTACGCTGCGACGCGCCTGGCATACATCTACCTAGGCCTGCGGCGCTGACACCCGAGTCAGGCAAAAGGCAGAGTCGTAGACAGG